CTAAATCTACCAGAAGGCCTTTGCAACAGCTTTCTCAAAGTGTAACAAATTCTACTTTGTGTATCATCTCTTCATGTGTAATTACAAGGATTTGAATTTGCAGAACCAATTAATCAGTAATTATATAGCACTGTAACAAAAGAAATTAAACAAAGATGAAAAAAACAAAAACACAACTCAGCACAAGGCTGTGTCATCCAGTGATGTTTCGTGCAGCATGCTGAAAATACTGCCTGAGAAATACAGGCTGAGTAGTGAGTGGTGCGGGCCCTTGATGTTTGTTGTTGTTGTTGTTATTGTTGTTTGTTGTTGTCATGACCACCAATGCCAACAGGAAACCTAAAGGTAATGAAAATACAAAAACATTGATGATTCTAATGTTAGTTCTTCCTGTCACTCTTCATCAGGAATCTACTTTCTGATAATTATGTTGAAAGGTAGTGGCAAACTTTAGCAATGCAAAAGAAATGTATATTTTATAATAATAGTTTCTCTACTGAATCTTCATATTTTAAAAAATCACTTACATCAGCTTTTGATTTAATTATCAACTAGATCTCTAAAACAATCCTCAGAAATGAAAAATAATAAAAGATGCAAAGCTGGACTTCCAGCCAAAAAAAATGTGTAAGTAGATACAATGTGCCTCCTAACACAAAAGAAGGACAACAACAAATTTAAAAACAAAAACAGCCAGAACTGACAGAAAACCAAACTGTATGGAAGTCTGACAACCCAGGAGTTAAAGAAGAAACATATCCAGACCAGTAGGAGGGGTGGAGACAAGGAGCTGGACAGAGAGGAGTCTCAGCAAGGCAGCAGCTTAGAGGACGGGGGTGGGCGAGGCAGCAGCTGGCAGCGTGGGCGGTCCCACACTTGCATGCAGATAAACTAGGAGGAACAACTGGGGAATGAGACAGACCGCACAACTCAGCGGTCTAGTGTGGGGAAATAAAGCCTCAAAACATCTGACTGAAAAAAACCATGAGAGTTGAGACAGCAGTGGGAGAAACTCCCAGCCTTACAGGAGAGTTCACTGGAGAGACCCACAGAGTTAGAATGTACATAGCCCCACCCACCCGGGAACCAGCACCAGAAGGGCCCAATTTGATTGTGGATGTCAGGGGAATTGACAAAGCTGGGATAGAGGTGAACAAGCCATACTGTTTCCTCTCAGACCCTACCCCCACATACACTCCACAACACAGCAAAGTGGGTTGCCTTTCCAGGCGAATATCTAAGGTTCCACCCCTTCCTATGTAACAGGCCCATCCAGACCCCCCCAAAAAAGGTCCAAATGAAAGAACAAATAAAAACTCCAGAAAAAAATAAAACTAAGCAACAAAGAAATGGCCAACCTATCAGATGCACAGTTCAAAACAATGGTGACCAGGATGCTCATAGAATTGATTATGGTCACAAAATAGAGGAAAAAGTGAAGACTATGAAAAGTTAAATAAAGGAAAATGTACAGGGAACCAACAGTGATAGGAAGGAAACCGGGACTCAAACCAACAGTTTAGAGCAGGAGGAAGAAATAAACATTCAATTAGAATAGAATGAAGAAACAAGAATTCAAAAAATTGAGGAGAGGCTTAGGAGCCTTCAGGACAACTTTAAATGTTCCAGAAACATCCTAATCATAGGGGTACCAGAAGAAGAAGAGGAAGAGCAAGAAGTTAGAAACTGATATGAAAACATAATGAAGGAGAACTTCCCTAATCTGGCAAAGGAAATAGACTTCCAGAAAACTTGGATAGTCCCAGAGAAGTTGGACCCAAGGAAACACACACCAAGGCACATTATAATTACATTAGCCAAGGTTAAAGATAAGAAGAGAATCTTAAAAGCAGCAAGAGAAAGGGACAGTTACCCACAAAGGAGTGCCCATACAACTGTCAGCTGATTTCTCAAAACAGACCTTACAGGCAAGAAGGAGCTGAAAAGAAGTATTCCAAGTCATGAAAGGCAAGGAACTAACTACATCCAAGATGACTCTATCTAGCAAATCTATCATTTAGAATGGAAGGGCAGATAAAGTACTTCCCAGATAAGGTCAAGTTAAAGTAGTTCATCATCACCAAGCCCTTACTGTATGAAATGTTAAAGGGACTCATAGAAGAAAAAGAAGATAAAAAAATATGAACAGCAAAATGACAACAAACTCACAACTATCAACAATCAAACCTGAAAAAACAAACTAAGCCAACAACTAGAATAGGAGCAGAATCACAGAAATGGAGATCATATGGAGGGCTATCAGCAGAGTGGTGAAGGGAGGAGAATGAGGGAAAAGGTACAGGGAATAAGGAGCATAGATAGTAGGTAGAAAATAGACAGGGGAGGGCAAGAGTACTATAGGAATGTAGAAGCCAAACAATTTATATATAGGACCCGTGGGCATGATCTAAGCAGAGGGAGCGGGGAATACTGGGGGCAGGTTGGGGGGGGTGTGCAGGGCAGAGGGGAATAAAGGCTGGGAAAATGGGACAATTCTACTAGCATAACCAATAAAATATATTTTTTTAAAAAACAAAGCTGATTGCAAAAGAGAAAATAAAGGTCCCTGAAACCAAGGAACAGGAAAAGGAGTAGCCATGTAGCCTGTCCCTGCAGAAATTAGGGCAGAGTGCTGGGGACTCTCTCTCTGTGGGGTTCAAGCCATTTCCCAATGGCTCCTGGGCCTCTTATTCTGGTTCTCAAACCAATTGTTGTTTGTTTTTTTGTGTGTGATGGAGGGTGGATTTTATTTATTTATTTTTTTAGAGAGAAGGGAGGGAGAGAAACATCACTGTGTGGTTGCTTCTCATGTGTCCCCCATCAGGGACCTGGCCCAAAACCCAGGCATGTGCCCTGACTGGGAATCAAAATGGTGCCCCTTTTGTTCTCAATCCAGCACTCAATCCACTGAGTCACACCAGCCAGAGCTCAAAACTTCTGTTAAAAACAGAAAAGGAGAAGACAGAGTTGGAAAGAGCAGTCAGTAGCTCCTGCAATTCAGTCCTGGGATGGGAGACATTGTGGCCTGCTCCTGTGCTGACACCAGTGGGAAGCAATGGTAACAGCCAGGCTCTGGGTAAGCAGCTAGTGGGACAGCAGTCTACCCAGCAAGCCTCTCTCCTGCGAGGCCCCCAGTCACCCCGCCCCTGTGACATGCCTACACGTGGCACTGAGCACTCAATGACCATGAAGTGCTTTAAGTTCCTTTCCACACTGCTGCAGGGGGCTTTGTTTCTATAAGAAAATGGCCTTACCTTTACTCCCAAGTCTAAGGATCTTATGACTTGTGGATATTGTAAAGCCTTGTGATGGGGTACCAAATGACCGAGCGGTTTTTTTCCCTTGTGTATGAGGTGGACTTGAAAACTTCCGCAGAGTAAATTCCACTGTGTACTCAGTGTTCTAGAATTGCCAGTCTCTGAAAAAAGGAATTTGTCTTTCAATAAAACAATTTTCCAAGAAAGAGTGAACAGCACTTTGAGAAGAACTGAATATAGAAGGAAATTTCAGATTCTCATCTTGGATTGGAAAAGTAAGATTTGTATGGTAATTTAGGGCCATGGTGGACTCTGGAGAGCCAATTTATAATACTTTTTTAAAAACTTCATCATGAAATTAATTGAGTAGCCCACCCCCCAAATTGGGAATAATCTGATTTTTTTCTGGTTTAGGAATCTGTTTTCCTACTGCACTATCAAGTTTCTATCTCTACAACTTCATTGCTTTTATAAATTATACAGCACACCTATGAATGAAAGCCACATTTGCCAACACGACAATTAATTTGACCATATGGTTTGTCAATCCTCTGTTGTGCTGCTTTGACTGTCCCCCAGTTTGAAATGTTCATGTCTCAGGACGTACAATTTATCTGACATCAGTGTAGTACATGCATTATTGCCTCTTGATATTAACTTCTTTATTGAAATCAGCCTTAGAAAGCTGACTCCAGTCCACAGTGATCATTATCGATGGGCCTTTATTGGGGTTAATTGGCCAAAATACATGAGCTAGAAGAATACCTTCATCTCAGTGAATGATGGGAGTGGTCCTCACTTTTACCACACAGTCTCTGCTGCTCAGACTTGTCACCTCCAGCAAAGTGCTGCAGAGCAGCTCACTGGGGTTCAGTGCCTCCCCTCATCTCTCTCCCATCTCAGTGAATGATCCAATTAACATTCAAACCAAAGACCTGGGAGCCAACCTGAGTCACCCCTTTCACTCACCTCACACCCAGTATCTCAGCTAGTCTGCCAGGCTACTTTCCACTGCCCCGACCGTCATCCCAGCCACCATTTCCTCTTCTCTTGGGTCCTGGCAACTCTGTCCTCCCTGGGCTTCCTGCTTCTGCTCCCCTTTCCACAATCTATTCTCCAGAGAGCAGCTCAGTAATTATTTTTAAAAATATGAATTTCATTATGTCACTAGGCCTGCTTAAGTCCCTCTAGTGACTTCCCTGTCTGGCTGGTTGTACTTAGAATAAAATTGGAACCTCTCTCCCATGTCCTGTAGAACCCCCATGTCTCCTCACACTTATTGGGTCCTTCTTCAAATGGACAAATCCTTCTCTCCCTAATACTGTAGGGCACAGGTGACAAACACAGGCCCTGGAGCCGAATCCAGCCCTCCACCTTGTTTTATCCAGCCCAGCACCTTGTTTCTACCCAGTGGCAGCACTGAGCTCCCACTTAACTGTTAAGGAGTAGTTACATTTACACAGTCCTAAAGTTACATTCAGCCCTTTGAAGGCAACCATGAGGCTAATATGGCCACCAATGAAAATAAGTTTTGACACCAAAACCCCCTGGTATAGGGTTTTGATGGGATCACTTTACTGCTGGACTTCAGCTTCCTTATCAGTACAATAAAGCTAACAAAACATTGGATTCTCAAAGGGATAAATTCAGGGAGTACGTGTGTGTGGTGGTGTGTGGTACATGGAGTGGCCTGTAGTCCATGCAGAGTGAGCACTGTTAACAGTGTCCCTCCCTATTTTCCAGGAAATCCTCAGAGGAACTGGACATGGACAAAGTGACTGCAGCAATGGTACTAACCAGCCTGTCCACCAGCCCTTTGGTCCGAAGTCCTCCTATGCGGCCGCATGGTGAGCAGGGGACGAATGTAGTAGGGAAGGGCCCCTGGCCACCAAGAGCACTGCCTCCCTTTAAGAGGTCCTGTAGGGGTCTCATACCTATTGACTGAAATGAACAGTTACTCCTTGCCATGATCAGAAGCCAGGGGAAATGTGGGAGAAATGGAGACTCCAGTACCATATTCATCCCTCCATCCATTCCACACATATCACCTTGCCAGGACACTTACCTGTAGTACTTTGTCCCTTTCCCCAAGTAAATAGAAATTGGTTTAATGAAGTTACTTCCCCAACATTTTTTTCTGTTCAGTCAGAGAGAGTTAGATCAAAGAACTTTGAAGATTAAATATTTTGAAAAAGCATTATCCCAGACTCCTCAATCAAACACAATTATTTAGACCATTCATTCACTCAATATATATTTATGAGGTACTATGCCAGATGGTTTGAGAACATCATTGAAAACAATGTCCATACTCCCATGTAGTATCCCAATCTCTTTGCGAGGAAAACAGACTCTCAGTCATAGCCATACCAATGGCTAGCATTTATTGAACACTTAACTATGTGACAACTACTAGGTTTGCTTTATCTCATATAATTCTCACAACACTATGAAGACATCATGATCTCTGTTTTACAGATGAGTAAACTGAGGCACATGGATTAATTGACAATAAATAGCAAAGCTGACATTCTCTTCTATATCTTCTTGATCCCAGACCTCTTGTCTTGGTTATGAGATATTGTAGACTCATATAATTCATGATGAGAAATCAGGAGGGCAGTAGATGACATTGGAGACCTGACTAGGAATGTGGACATTAATCTGAGGCTGCAGCAGAGCTATTAAGTGATTGCCACTGGAAAGTTACAATTGGCTTTATAGGCAAAAACAAAAAAGAAACCCCTAAAAATGTGATGTCCTGATCCTTGATGGTCACAGAAGGGACAGATAGGACATAACTGAGAAATATAAGGAAGGTAGAATCAACAGGACTCAGTGATGGACAAAGAGGATGAAGGAGAGGGAGTGACAGGGTGGCTTGCAGGCAGTCGACACACTTCAGCAAGGAGACCCATTCCCTGAGATGGAAACAAAGGCAGAGGAGCCCATGTATCGGTGAATGTTTGGTACAAGAGCTGGGGTCACTGAAGAAGACAATAGGTTCAGTTGGAAGCATGTTTAGTGGGCAGGACTAAGGCTCATTCGAAGGATGGTGTCTGGGGAGAGCTGAACTGCCCAGGCAGAATTGAAAGGCAGCATTTTGAAGGCATGAGAGTAGATGGGATCTCCCTGAGAGAGTCGTAGAGAGGCCATGAGCAAAGACAAGGAGGGAACTGAGGGAGAAGGGGTGAAGCCCACCATCACTTAAGGGATCAGCAGAAGGGGAAGAACCTGAGGACGACCAGAGGTAGAGGAGAGCTAGGAGAGTGGTTTCATGGAAGCCAAGCGTCAGCTGTGTGTTTCAAGGACAGATATCTGATGCTTCAGAAGCTCAACCGTGACATCGACTGAATTCTGTATCAGGATGAAGGTCCTGGAGATCTGGCCAGAGCATTCATGGTGGACCAACCATGGGCCGAAATCAGATTGCTGCTGACTGAAATGTAATGCACTGAGACCACAGAGTGAGCGTTACCAACATTGGAACACCTCTCAAAAGACAGCCTAGTCAGTTATGAGACCGAGGTATGGTTTACACATAATTTGGTAGTAAGTGTGAGGTGTGAAAATAAATTTGTTGAACAGCCAGTGAATCCTCACCAAAACATATTCCACTCCATCTCTGGGTGCGAAGAATGATCAGGGTGCTGGGAAGTCAAATCAATACCATAAATCAGTAGTGCCCACCCCCTGTCATGACCACCACAAGTGGGGGTGAGGCCACCTCATTACCCAGTGGGTGAGGTGACTGTGAGGTGAGCCTGACCGATGCTGTGGAACGATGGCGGGGCCTTTCTTCTTGGGGCCCCTTTAACAGGCATCCTCACTTAGTCTGCTCAGTGCGGCTACGCCACCAACGAGAGTGCAGTTAAAGCAAAACGGAAGAATCCCCGAAACCAGTCCTAGCAAAAGGAATTATATACAAGATCAAAACGTTAATAGTAAAAAAAAAGTTCTTCGGGGTTACAAACAAGTATTTACTTTGTCCCAAGCTGGGCCACCAAACACAAATAAATTGTAGGATTTTGTTGTTTAAAAAAAAAGAATTGCAGGATTTCATAGAACCCTCAGAGAAGAAAGAGTATATTTTAGTGCGACCATTATTTTTAACATGGCATTCTCTTTGAATTAAGAACCTTTTTAATATTATTTTTTACTTTGAAAGGTTAAAATGAAAGTAAACCTTTTGCTTCTTCAGTGCAAAGTTTTGTTGGCACAGCTATAAAGAAAATAATTCAGTGTTCATTATGATTTTTAAAAATAACTACCCAACTAATAATCCCAAATTGTCATCTTTCATTAAGTTTGCAACAGGCAGAAAATTCTTAACAAGGAAAAGCCATTAACGGTAATATTGATAATGCAGGCATTGGATTTTTAAGAAATAATATTATGTCCAGAATTATTGTATATCAGTAAATTTTTGAAAACTGTTGTGATCCTTTTTGTGTGAGAAAAGGATCGTTTTGTCGGGAAGTGGGTCTGCAAAGAGGATGAGAGTTCAGCACGGCTTGTCTTCATTTTCACCCAATACTTTTTTAAGATAAGGAGACACTGCTCTTTAAAAAAGAAAAATTACAAATTGGTTCTGACTTTTTTTCTGAAAAATTCATTTATATCTCACATTTTCCTTCCCATTATATAGTGCTTCTTAAAGGACATGTCATCCCAAGTACACAAATTAACTTTGGGCATTGACATGAAGTAATGCAACCACACTGCTTTTCAAAAGAAATTGTTGCTTTTCAAAATAAATTCAATTCTTCATACCTAACATGATTACACAGCAAGTACCACAAGTCATTTTATTTTACAAGTGTACGCCGGGGTGTATTTAAAGCCTCCTGAACCTGCCCAAGAGGTTGCCACACCAGGTGTGTTACCTAAGGCCTCACATCAGGCTCCCCTTGATGTGGGGCTGTATTGAATGGAGCTCTCTTGTTCATACAAGGCCACTTGGGTCTGGTTAGTGCATCTGTACAGGATGCTAATTTGCTTTTCTTAGTGTCAGTAAGGTGTGATCGTGCAGAAATGACCATTTGATTCCGTTAGAGCCTCACTTGAATGAGATGGGTAACTTTCTTCTGCTGTTTCAGCTTAAAATTTCATTCCTCTAACTGGACTTTTGCTTGACATAGTTGCAGAATATGCTGGAAATCTATAATTGCGTGAAGGTAGTCAAGACGTTTTTCTATGAATGCTAGTCCACTGTGTGTCCTCGCTTCATTACTAATTACACAGATGTTAACAGCATTTTTAAATGAGGCATTTTGGGATTTTGCCCCATTGTACTTAGAATATAGTTTTATTATATTCAAAATGCACATAAATATGGAGGACAAATTATCCAAAAAGAAAGTCAAGTTTATACAAAAGCTAATTAAAATCAGGCATCTTACATGGTAAAACAGATCTTCAGTGATTAAAAGAATCTCCTCAAAGGCATTCTAACCGGACAAAGATCTCTCCACATTAGCAAACGTTTCATGTTTCCCCCATGAGTGGGAAGGTAAAACTCAACAGCTATCTTACCAGTAATGATCTCCAATCTCAGCTTTGCTGGAAAGAGAGGAAGATTTCCTACAACACAGGACCCACATGCGCTAAAGGACAGAGAAGACCAACTGGTAGACCATGGCTTGGGCCTGGGTTCACATACTCGTTATGTGGCAAGTCACTGAAGTTCCCGGTGCCTCCGGTCCTCGTCTGTGAAACCTGCATGACAGTCCAAGCTCTGGGAGACAGATGTTGTGGGAACAAATGAGATTGTGTGAGTGAGCTTTGTGAGACGGAAAACACCAAATGTAAAGCACTGTTATTTCTTTAATAAGGCCAGTGGCTTTAGGTAACTATCTGGAAATTATTATTTCTTTTAGATTCTTAAATCTTGGACTAACTTTTTTAATAAACATATTCCAAAGATCACAGACCTATGATATTCCTTTTTTAAAAAAGTTAAAATAAGAGGTGAGGGAAGGAGGATAATATTACCAATGATTCCCTCTTAGAAACACCATCAATAAACTCAGAGCTCCCCAAACTTAGTGAACGAGGACAACTTTTTCTTTCTTTTTATATCATCTCCACTGTCATCCTTAAGAACACAAAACCACCCACATCAGAAAACTGTTAGAAAAACCTGTTATGTGATTAAAATAGCTCAGTGTTTACAAAGCATAATACAACTTTTTTTTGAGGTATGCATGCTGTACCCCCAGCTGTTGCACATTTTGGGATGGGCTGCAGGTGCTTTGCAGGGTCTGGGTCTGTCCACAAGCATTCCCAGCCTGTCACTCCAGGTGTGTGTGCTTGCTGACGCTGGTTGTCTGGCTTGCAGAGGGCCTCAGCGGATCCTGGAAGGAGGGTGGTGCCCCATCCAGCAGCTGCAGCAGCGGCTACTGGAGCTGGAGTGCCCCCAGCGACCAGTCCAACCCGTCCACCCCGTCACCACCGCTGTCCGCCGACAGCGCCAAGCCCTTCCGCAGCCCCGCGCCTGACGACGGCATCGATGAGGCTGAGGCCGGCAACCTGCTCTTCGATGAGCCCATCCCCAGGAAAAGAAAGGTCAGCCTCTGCTCACAGATCCTGGTCTTTGACAGCCCAGAATAAATCCAGGGTCCTGACCAGAGACAGAGCCACTAAGTGTGGACACATGTCTTGCAAGCATGTATGTTCCTGCCTTCACCAGACCTTCTGGGGTCAAGTTGCAGCCTGGTGTCAGAGTTGACATAGGTGCCCCAGCTTTCACCTGTAAAATAAAACTAATATCCTGTTCTCTTTTCAGCTTCAAAAAGCATATTGAAAGAATGTTTCACATTTTATTTGTAGAAAACCAGATGTGAACATACATCAAAGCTGACACATACATGTACGTAGTACTCACAGACCTAAAGTTGTATTTTACTAAACTAAAAGCAAAAAAGCTCTAATCAGTTGATTTAATACACTCATTACACACTTATTTGCTCCTCACAGCTGCCCTGTCTGGTAAGTATCATTTTCCCAACTTGATATGAGGTGGTTGAGGATCAGGCAGATAAGACGTTGAACTTGCCCTGTCCTGCAGGTTAGAGGGGTCAGACCTGCCACTCAGACTCAGGTCTGCCTGAACCCAAAGCTCATATTCTTTTCATTCTCTTTGTGTATATTTATTCATGTCCACTCACAATTTTCAAAAGCATTTCTACTTCACAGAATAAAACAATCTACTGCTACATCTAGAAAACATTTTAACATTTTTAAAGTGGCTATGTCAGTATGAGGCTGTTACTTTATATATTGGTCTTTTAAGTTATTGTTGGTGACTTCATTATGAATGACTATTCACAAACAAAAATCTGAAGCAAAACCCTGAGAACTGCAATGCAACCCTTGTTTTCTATTTTCCCAATTTATCTCAAAGAGGAAAACAAAGAAATGGCGTTGACCCAACACCATCCCTCCCTGCATCTCTGCTGGCATCACACAGCATTGTAACTGTGGAGATTACAGGGACCCTCCCTCTGTCTGGAGAACAGGGGATAAAGGAGGCTCCTGCCCTTCCCAGAGTCAGTGCATGAAGGTTACTGCTCCACGCACCAGTCCACTGGGCAGGGGGCTCGACCTGCTCCGTGTCCTGTGGGTCCCCCAGGGACACTGGGTCTTCACTTGACTAATCTTGGAGAGAGGCTGGCACTTGTATCAATGGGAACCCTCAGGTAAAACAGCTGTGGGGACCTGAAGGGTCATCCTGTTGCTTCAGGCTGCACAGTCTTTCTCTCTGTGGTCATCTGTGTGTATGGCCCTGGCTGTCATCAGATATGGTGCATCGTGCATGATCAGAGCTTTTGTTTCATTTGCACACTCATGTGTGTTGTGCATAGGGGATCTCTTACTGTGGCTCATGGGCAAAAATTATGTCCTGTGTCATAAAGAAATAACATAATCTGTGAGAAAGGAAGGAGCCCTGATCAGAAATCAAAAGACTCTGGCTGGTGTGTCTCAGTGGACTGAGTGGTGGCCTACGATCCAAAGGGCTGTTGGTTCAATTCCCAGTCAGGGCACATGCCTGGGTTGCAGGCCAGGTAGGGGGCACATGAGAGGCAACTGCACATTCGTGTTTCTCTACCTCTCTTTCTCCCTCCCTTCCCTCTCTTTAAAAACAAATAAACAGAATCTTTAAAAAAAAAAAAGAAAGAAATCAAAAGAGCCCCATTCTCAACTCAATTTTGCAACACTGCACACTTTAGAAAATCGTTTCCCTTCTCTGGTCGTCAGTTTCTTCATCTACAACACAAACATACAGGTATTATCAACCCTCTCTCAGGACAACCATGAAGATTCAAAGTGACCATAAATAAAAAGGGTTTATAAGCCCTTTCTAAACCAACTGGAACATAGCAACATTGTAATAGACGTTTTAGGGCCCCTTAACAAAGCCGTGATCCTGATTCTTCTCCTGGTTCCGGAAGCTCTCATCTCTCCTGTGCACCCCCGCCATGGATACTTCACTCTGGTCCACTTACGTAAAAGGAGAAAGAGTGCGAGATGCCCCAGACAAGCCATCATTGCTTACTATGGTAGTGAAGAAGAAACGCTTACTGATAATGACTACATTTGCATACTTAGTTACAGTTTATGAAATATATTTAAATGCAGCATTTCATTTAATCACCACAAAAATTCTCGTCATATCCACATCCTCATTTTGCAGAAAAGGCTCATGGAGGTTAGGCAAGTTGCTCAAGGTCTTGTAGTTCTTAAAATGTAGCAGAGGTAAGATCAGCTCAGCTGAAATTGCAGAGGAAACTCAGGGCAAATTAATTCAAAGCATCCACATTTGCCTCTGTCAGCAGAGGCGACTCATGTGGAAAGAAAATAATTGGAGGCAGCATCGGCCAACATTACCTGGCAGTGGGGGAGAAGAGTGCAGAGGGTTGAGGAAGAGACAGTGACAGCAAGTGGGACTGCAGGCTCTCTGCGGGGGCCTGACTTCCTGCATGAGGCACCCATCACTCAAGATGGCATTCAGCCAAGGTAGGCGGGAATGCGAGAAGGGGGAAAGAAAGAATTTCTTCCAGCTCTGGAGATTAGCCAACCAACTGCGTTCTAGCAGAATTCTAGCCAAGTTCTAGCAGAATTTTTCCTCTGGAGTTTCAGACAGACTGAAAGGACTTCCCTGGTACTGTGGGCAGGACTCTGGGATTGTAGGAAGGTGCAGTCCGTATCATGACCACGGAGGATGCAGTGACCCTACATACAGCCACTCCAGGAGTCAGGAAGAAAAATCCTACAGACCGTGCCCTGGCTGGTGTAGCTCAGTGGACTGAGTGAGGGCCTGTGAACCAAGTAACCATGGTTCAATTCCCAGTCAGGGCACGTGCCTGGGTTGCAGGCCAGTTCCCAGCAGGCGACGCACAAGAGGTAACCACACATTAATGTTTCTTTCCCTCTCTCCTTCCCTTCCCCTCGAAAGATAAAATCCATAAAATCTTTTTAAAAAATCATATGGACCAATCCCAGGAGATCTCTAAAAAAAATCAAGATATGCTGATAACTATTAACTATTAATATGCCTTTTCTCCATCTTAGATTCCAGATTTGCCCATTCCTTAAAAGAATCAAATAGTTTGTGCTTGGGAATTAGCACCCCAGCTCCAAGTAATGTGACCTTAAGCAAGTCACTTGATTTCTCTAAGCTTCTGTTTCCTCATCTGTAAACTATGGGTCATGACAGCACCAAAAAGACGGGGTTGCTGTGAGGGTTCTGTTAGCAGTAAATGCTGGCTGCTCATACTTTGCATTGACAACAGACTGAATGGAAATGTGAGAAGTGTGGATGTGCAGGGAACGGGGTGCTGGCCTCCATCCTCCAGCCTGACTCCATCATAACCATTTCAGGACACCCACGGCCCTCAGCCATGTTGGCTTTATTTCAGGTTAACAGAGAGCCCAGCGCACAGTCCAGTGAGGGATGAGGGCAGCAACGACAGTGGCAGAAACTGAGGCCAGACCAAGAAACCCGGCTCAGGACTCTGACTTCCAGAACAAGCACAGCAACTCAGAGGCAGCCACCGAATTCCAGGCTTCATTATTTTCACCTCTTTCACAGGTGTCTAGACCATGGACCACTTTACCTGTGGACTGAGGAGATGCTCAAGTCACAAGAAAAAGCATCAAGTTAACATAACAATTGTTCAGGAGTAAACAATGAACTAATCAGCGCCTCAGTCCTTCAGTCCCAGAAAGAAGTCATTCACTCTAAATTGCAAATGACGGTTCTGAAAAGCCAGCAGCCCCATGCAGCCCTCGTGCCCTCATCTCGGTGCTGACTTCATTCCCAGCATGCCCCGGAGCGCAGCCTTGTGCAGGAAAACCTGCTGCTCCAGAAATAGGCTCACTGAGCAAGATGTGGGCAGGGCAATGCTCAGAAAGCAGCTTGGGTCACACTGAGTGGATGTCACAGTGATGACACCGCACAGCCAGCCAGAGCAGGGGGAGATCAGAGTAAGGATTGCAATCTAGGCAATTTAGGGACAGCCTTGTAGAATAATCTGCCACCCCAGCAGTGTATAGTGTTGGAGCATCTGGAGGACTTTAGAAGTCATCCAGCCCAGGGCCAACTTCTCCACCTCACAGGATTGTTTGATCGTGTCTACAAACCGGCAGAAGTCTCCAAAGATGAGAGGTACTCTTAGAATCCACTGATTGAGAAAACGCATAATCACTATGGATTTGTATTAATTCAGGGATGCTTTTTTTGTTGTTACAGAAGTCATTTAAAATCAACGTTAGCCATAATCTCCATGCAATAAAATGATCCTGTTTTAACTATACAGTGCAGTGAGTTTTGGCAAGTTTCTACACCTGAGTAATGACCACTGTAATCCAGGCTTGCCTGTTGGGGACCCTCTCCAGTCGGACAGTCCTTGCACCTTACAAACAGGCCACCACTGGGCTGACAGTAGATGAATTGTGCATGCTGTGCAGCTTAAACTGAATGCAATAACATAGCGTGCGTGTTCAAAAGTCCAAGTGTTGGTAATAGGAGCTCTGCCATGTGTTGCTTGTGGGAACGTAAAATGATGCAACCACTTTGTAAAACAGTTTGCCAGTTTCTTGTAAAGTAAATCATTCCCAGAATATTTACCTAAGAGATAAGAAAACCTGTGTCCACAGAAGATCTTGTAGACAAGTGTTCACAGCAGTTTTATTTGTTATCACCCCAAACTGGAAGCAATCCAAATGTCCAAAACAAGGAAATGCATAAACAAATTGCGGCACATCCCCTCAGTGGAGTATCACCACACAACATGCAGGAACAGACCACTAGTTCATGAAACAATGGGTGAAGCTCAAAGTCATTATGCTGAGGGAAAGAAGCCAGACACCGTTTATGAAAGGCCTTTTATGTTTTTAAGTTTACTTATCACCACAACATCTGTAAACAGTGCATGTAGGTAGAAGACGTTTCATCAATGCTTGGTATACATTTGAATTCACCCATCACTGTGCATTAACCTCACACACTTCCCAAACCCAAAATATTCATCTTTTTCAGTCTTCCTGCTTTACAAGTAAAGAAATAAAGCTCCAAATTTAGGCAATTTAGGGAAATGACAGGTATAAGTTTGCTTTCCCAGTAAAGGAAAGGACTGGAACCCCTGTCAGCTTCTAGGCGTTTATGGTTTTTGAAATACATCTGTTCATTTCTCAGTCTTTTGGAACCTGCTGAGGGTCTGTGTGGACCTCTTGATCCTGAGAGGGTTACTGAAGCTTCTGCCAAGCAGTGTGGGTTCCTCCTCCGTGAGGCCAGCTGAGGGCCATGTGTAATGCAGCAAACCCACCTGTGCATAACCAAATGCCCCCTTCTTTCAAGGACCCTGGTCCTCTTGGTAGGCTTGGGTGTATGAGCCTCCGCCCCAACACACACCTATACACATATGTACACATGTATACATTATACACACCCTAAGCACCATGTAAGGCATACCTTAGGATCTTCTTAGTTGCCTCAGGAAAGTCAACTTGGTATCAACCCCAGGCTGCTATTGGTAAACTGGACAGTCAAGTGAGTTCTGGAATATAACTTTTGTATAGGTATGAGTATTCTTCAAAATGCAGGCATGTTGGAATCCCCCTTGGAATTGAAGGTGACCTTCAGCAATCATCTTGTCAGTACTGTGTATTATTCTGGGTTCTGTCAGGAAAGTAGAAGCCACTTCATAAATCCTAAGGAGGCAACAATTCATACCAGGGCCAAGGCTTACCATGAGAAAGACAGTGACAGCATCCTGGGCCAGGACCTCAGCCTCCAACCCCAAGGCAGTTGGTGTCAGAGATAGTCCAGAAGCTTCTGCAGCAGTGCAGAGCCTCCGGGAAGCTGTCCCTTGCTGTCTGAGCCACAGCACTGAAGCCAGTGTTTCTGCGGAGCTTGCCTGGAACCCCACACTGGGCATGTGTCTCTGTTCATTGCTGCAGGGAGCTTCAGCTGCCCCTGGCATGGCTGTGAGTGTCTGATCAGGCTCACATGATCCCAGTGACAGTGGCTTCCTCCTCCAGACCTCCAGCCTCATGAACTTGGGTCGAGCTGCCAGGAGAAGCCAGGATTGAATCACAGATGGTCACACCCAGTCTTGGCGGCTGTGACTCTCTGCCGGCAGCTGCACTTGGTTTGGCTGCCTGGAACCCAGGCTTGGGCCTGTGTGGCAAGCCCAGCATTGTTCACTTCGCTGTTTTCTCGTCTCCTTCCTCGGCGAGAACAAGTTGGCTGTTTGTAGACAAGGACTTGTTTTCATTGAATGTAGTTAGAAGACTTTGACAAGTACTTGACTACCAATTAAGGGGCCTTCTAGTTTGATACAGAACATCTTCACCTAGGTACAACCCTTGATTTCATTCAAGTTGAACTAATCATGCATGCACTACAGGGTGACTTCCATTTTTAGAGAAATAACTTTTAAAAAATTAAAAATAGGGTAATTTTTATATTTGGAAATTAATGTAAAGATAAGATACTCCTACCCAATGTTTCCACCATGCAAGAATACATACTTCTTTACATTATATATCTCCCCCCCCCAAAAAAAATCATGTTGTTCATATTTTTTTATAAACTACTTTTTCCTGTATTCATTAGGTCCTAGAAGTGGGGGGGGCAACTTTTCTCGAAAGTCCCCCAGTTCACCATGGATGAAAGTAAACAAGACATGACATGATCTGCTCAGGGAAGAGAGGTGGCCGATCCCTCTAGAGGGGAGGGCCGTGAGCAGTGGCCAGTATCTCTGAGGAAAAAGGCGTTGAGCAGTGGCCAGTTTCTCAGCGGAAAAGGGTGTTTAGCCCCCTCCTCTAGAGGCTTTTATTGTGTTATAACACACAGGAATACAGGTGGCAAGGATCAAACAGTAGATAACATTTCAAAGAAATCTGAGGGCTTAGACTGAGTCAGTGTCTGTCAGGAAGGGGGTTTGCAGAAATTTTGGGAGACTTACTCATTTCCTGCTTGGACTCTTATCCTATGAATGAAAGCATTCTTAGGAGAGCAGGCTTCACAGGCTTTTCAGGAAGTCTTTGTGATGCCAGGTTTTTCCCCAGGACACGCTCTAGCAAGACAAGGAGCTGCACCTCTCCCCATCAGGTATTTGGGCTTAAGGGGATCAGAGCCAGGAAGGGCTTCTCCCAGGGGACATGGGGACTCTGGCTATGTCAAAGCCAGGGGGTGAGAGTCCATTGCTCTTTGTTGCAGCCCCCCAAGTCCTTCCATGAAGCCCTCCCACGTGATCAAGTCTGGCTTAGGTTGCCCCCCTGCTGTGAGGAGACTTACCCGTCACTGACTTCCTACCAAGCTTTGGGGTCAGGGAAAGGAAACTGAGGCAGCGTTTGCTACCAGAGACAAGCTTTGTATCCTGTGGCTCACATTCCAGAGGTCACTCACAGCCTTAGCCATGGGGGGTAGAGTCACAATTCCTGAAACCAGGCACAGTGGTCCACAACATGGCGGGAAGCAGGTGATGTACTCAGAGGGGTAATTAAAAAGAGTTTGATGAAGAGGCTCTTTACAGAAGTGTAGACAGGGTTGAGGAAAACCCAGAGGGATGGTGTGGTATCCCAGAGGCTAACTACCAGGCAAGGTCATTACCACTCCAAGACTCAAGAGATGAGTAAAGAAACGGGTTTCCAGAACTCAGAAGGTTGGTCATCAGAACTCTGGAAATAACCAGCAGAAGTGGTGGTTTTCAGAGGCGAAATATGGCCACTGCCCACCTGTGGCCAGGTAGAAGGGAAGCTGGGGGAGTCTATAGCCTCCGGTCTCTCAGGGGCCAGCCCCAACCTAAGACCCACTGGCAAGGGGCCCACTGGTATACCAGGTCAACCTCCATGGCACAGAGCAGGTAGTTTTGAATAGCACAGCTTCATCGTTTGAAAAATGGTCAGGAAACACTCATATGTGAGGAATTTTCCATTAATATTATAATATTATAAAGTCACTAAATGCTTTAAATAATAAAAGTAAGGAAAAACTGTGTTGGGATGATGTAAAGACAATATTGATATGTTTGTTCCCGTTTTATATAACTTCTTCTCCCCCTTCTAGAATTCCATGAAGGTGATGTTCAAATGCCTCTGGAAAAACTGTGGGAAGGTGCTGAGTACTGCAGCAGGGATCCAGAAACACATCCGGACCATTCATCTCGGGTGAGGCCACCCTCCCTTCAGAGCTTGGTGTGGGCTTCTCTAGTGTCCCCTCTCAGGCAAGACCCTCCAACCTGTGTCCTAAAAGTTCTGGACACAGGAAGGGCCTGGGCTTGCTGGGTCTTCCTAATCACTGCAGATGAGAGGCCCATACCACACAGTGGGAGGATCATGGGTGCAAAGTATACTTCGCTGAGAGATACTACGTGAGTAATTGCTCTGAGGTTAATAATACAATTCACCCTACAGGGGGGTCATGTGTGAAGGTCAAAAATAAAACATAGAGTGATTTGTCAGAAATACAACACTAGGGTGAGATAGGACTCCTCCGAAATTGTCTGTAAAATTAAATGTGCATTTTTCCCCTCAGAGGCATACAGAGCCTAAAAAGGGTTTAAGCACCATGTGTCAACCAGAGCTGCTCTTGCCATTGCTATGATGCCTGATGACTTGGCGCTGTCATTTTCTACACTCTTCCTTGTGTTTTATAAAAACCTGTCTAAGGAAATACAAGACAAATCTTTGGGAGCCACAGTGATAAGCAGCCATACCAATTGCAGGGATGGTTCCCCAGCCTTGTCTTTTGGGCTATGGGTCTCTCTTGTCCAGGGATATGGGACTGAAAAGGGACCTTGTAAAGCTGTAAGTCATGACCAGTGTGCAGACAGCAAACCAAATGCTTGAATAAACAGAGGAATCCTTTCAACAAGATGAGTGTTGAGAAACAGATACTACAGTCACGTTGCTCAGCAAGGAATAATTTTAGGAAATGCTTCGTCCATAAAAGTGTTATAAAAAGAAAATAAAAATGGGTTCTAGGTTATTTTGCTCACCTGCATGGGTGGGGTCCCTCAGTGACTGGAGGGAAGTAGGAAGCTCCTCCCCAATCAGTGAGGCTGATGTCTGGGGCACAGTCAGTCCCTCCCAGAGCGCAGCATGATCACCAAGCAGACCATCCAGTGGGCGTGGCCCAGCAAGGCTGGGCTTCTGCTCCCCTTGCCAGGAGGTCTGCCCCGAAGCACCGGGGGCAGACACCCCATTTCTGTAACTGAAGACTTCAGGAAAGAAATACTGCAGTGTCTCCCCTTTTTCCTACTTCATCATCAGGATGACCTACAATGGAAATAGCTCAGCATTACTTAGAGGTCTAGAGAGAATTTCCCAAAGCCACAGTCAGGAGGTAGGGTATTTGTTTTCAAGTCCATCTGCCCAGAAAAATTATACCCTGTTCAATGTCATGCAGAAGCTGGTGCTCTATTCATGTCTGTAGACTAAGTGGTACCACGTGGTTTCCTTTGAGTCCCTGGGTGCTCTCCCCCTGGGTGAAGTTCACGGTACAGTCACTGTATTTGATTCCTTGGGGTTCCCTTTTTACTCAGTGCTGTAAAATGGCCTTGGGGGTAAATGTTCACAGCCTGCCAGTAATCCCAGGAACAGGCCTGGGTTTGCAGGAGTTCTCAGTCGAGAGAGAGGGATCACCTTTGCCCTAGCCCATGAGCCCAGTTTTATGACTATAGGACAATGGGACATATTTAATGCATGTTGGTTGTGGACGCCAAAGCCCAGAGAAACTACGTCTTCGTCTAAGTCATTCAGTGCACACTGGCCAACTTAGAAAGTACCATTTTTCTCTGAACCTTTCCTCTGTTCTTGTGTTCTGGGGCTCACCCCGACGTATCCCCAGGTGGACACACCCTCTCCCCCAGCCTGTGTGTAGGACTCGGCAGCAACCAGTAGCAACCCAGCCTGCCCTTGACTGGAAAGGAAACGGGGACAGGAATAGAACAGACATGTTCGCGCTCTTCATCCTATTCTCTGGGGTCTTCTGTGGGGTGCCATCAAAAAACCAGAGCCACCCAGACCTGGGACAGCACAGACCTCCCCAGACGCTCTGCCTGAGCACTCAGCGGACAGGAACCAGGGCTGGGAGAAGCCACGGATTTGGCTAAAGAAAAAAGGTTGAGAAAAGGGGGGTTTTATTTGAGATTCTCTAAAGGGATCATAAGTGGGAAATGGTCTGTTGCAAGTCAGTGATCTGCCCGTGAAATGTGGGACAACCCGCAGGAGGGAGCCCCACAGCCCTTGCTCAGCCGCCCCATAAAGCCAGGTCGCTAGACGCGCACCACTTCTTTAGAAATTAACACTTGGAATAAATGTTTTCTGTGGTTTGGACAGCTATTTTAATTTACTCAAAACATGCTATGTAAAACTCCCCTGGCTCAGGGAGAGCTTTGAAAGCAGAAGACACTTTTCTGCCTTCTGACATGGACCTCGTTCTGATTTTGTAAGCACCGTGTTCTTCTCACTGGTCAGGAACACTTCTCCGCACTGTCTCGTTGCCCACTCGGCCCTCACCACCGGCAGGCACTGTGTTACCCGGTTCCCTCAGTGAGAACCTCACACACAGCTCTGTAGCGCAGGATTTGAAACTGAGACACCTGCCTCCAGAATTCACACTCTTTATCACCGTGCCAAACAGCATCAGCCTCATTCATCCGTTCAGCAGTGAGTAGGTGCCTACTGTATGCCAGATACGCTGATATGTGTGGAGCCTCAAGAGGATGAGCAGCAACACACAGCCCTAGAGAATGTCGTAAAGGAGGCAATAGAGGTTAAAACATTACAGAAATGTATGAAGTAATTTAATAAAGTTAATTAAATAAAAGGAACACCCCTCAGAGAGAACAGGGAGGATCTAATACTCAGGCGTGAAGTGCTAGTCCTAACCTTCAACATACATCCAAAACTTGACCTCTCATCACTTCCAACCCCCCACCCCTTAGCCTGGGTCTTCAATGTTGAGGGATCCATTTAAGAAGCCACTGAGATTCCTCGAAGCCCCAGTGGCTTTCATGATGTTCAGAACACAATGCAAAGTACTTCCTGTGGGCTGTGAAGCCCTCCGTGACCTTTCCTCTGCCCTTTCTTCTCCTACTGTTCTCTACTGCCCCTTGCCCCAGCCGCTGGCCTCTGCCCTTCTCGGGAGACACCAAGCCACCACCACCCCCGGCCTTCACTGCTCCTCACCGTGCACTGCTTTTCCTGCAGTCTGGCGAGCATTGCCCCTCACCTCGCCAGGTCTCTGCTCAGATCACCTCCTCATAGAGGCTCCCTCTGAACTCAGTTTAAAGTATGCCCCACCCCCATCACTTACCCTGCTTAAGGACACTCATGCTTCAAAATTTTTCTTTCTAGGATTTATCACTACCTGGTACATTAAATACCTGTTTATTTATGGGTTCCTTACCTGCTTCTCCCAGTAGATTTAATTTCCATCAGGACAGAGTCCATCTACAATTTGGTCACTGTGCTGTTAAGAGACCCTAGAAAGTGCCAGCACATAGTAGATTCTCAATAAATTGGTGAATAGGTGATTGGCTGGTTGATTATACAGATTGCTCTAAGAGGTCAAGAAGGTCTTTCTTGGAAGTGGACAGTTGAATGTTGCCGAGTAAGTGAGTTTTCCAGGTAGACAAGAGAAAGGAAAAACCTTCCAGATATAGGGAACAGCATGTGCAAAATGGTTTAGTCTGATTGTTTTGATGTCCTTTGCATTAGGCGTGTTGGGGACTCTGATTATAGTGATGGCGAAGAGGACTTCTACTACACAGAGATCAAGCTCAACACAGACTCGGTGGCAGATGGACTGGGTAGCCTGGGTCCGGCTTCGCCCTCCCAATCCCTGGCTTCGCCACCCACCTTCCCCATCCCGGATTCAAGCCGAACAGAAACCCCTTGTGCCAAAACTGAGACTAAACTGATGACGCCCTTGAGCCGCTCAGCCCCCACCACCCTCTACCTCGTGCACACCGACCACGCTTACCAGGTGATGTACCAGGGATCCTCAGTAGCAGTTGGCTCCTGACCAAAAGCAGTCATATTCTCCCCTAGAAATAGAAAAGCAACATCACACACAGTAACCCAGTAGCTGATTTCATTTTTCTCTTTTTCTCCTTTTAAAGCCAAGATCTCACAGAGAGGACCCTCTGAGTTCTTGGAATCCCCAAGATTAACTGGATATCCCTTATAGGCAATTAATGAGGATTACAATCCTTAGTAGTGTAAAAGCCTCAGAAAGATGCCTGCCACATGCTGTAAGCGAAATAACAAGAAAGATGAGCACTGAAAAGCTTTGGTATCGTGACAGAATAGCTCTGTACCCCCAATCTGGGATTGTATGCCCTGCCTCTGAGTTGGCAAGCAACCCTCTCAGACTAGAGCAGTGGGTGTCAGCGTTCCCCAGGTCAGTAGTGTCCTCATCCCCTGACAACGTGGGAAACATGTCAATTCTTGGGGCACCCAGACCCACTGGGCCAGAAGCTGGGGCGGGCCCAAAGCCTGTGCTGTGACGGGCCCTCCAGGGGACTGTTTCACTCGGAAGTCTGATAAGCCTTACAGACAGATCATCAAACAGAGGACATGGCTGAAGTCCCTTGACCTCAGCAGTTATTAACACTTTTAAATATTGGTTTGTTTTAATAAAATGTCAATGCACTCACACTTCAAGAAAATATTTTATCTATAATTCTCAACTACCTTACAACTTTGAAAAGAGAAATCTGCCCTGGCGGGTGCAGCTCAGTGGATTGAGCATCAGCCTGCAAACCAAAGGGTGCTGGTCTGATTCCTGGTCAGGGCACATGCCTGCATCGCGGGCCAGGTCTCCAGTTACCAGTGTGCAAGAGGCAGCTGGTTGATGTTTCTCTCACACACCCATGTTTCTCCCCCTCCTTTGCCCGTCTCTCCCCTCTCTCTAAAAATAAATACATAAAATCTTTTAGAAAATAAAAATAAAAAAAGAAATCTCCTTTAGAGACAGGGTGGGGCAAAAGATGTGTGCTTCTTCATATAGAAAATAATGCAATAACTGATAAATAATGAAAAAACTGTGTTTTGTGTACTCACAACTGTAAACATATTTTTGCCCTGCCCTGTATTTGTAGTTGTGTTCTCCCGTAGCTGTACTTCATGCACACCAACCATGCTTACAAAGGGACCCTTAGTGACACTTTATCCCTGACCAAAAGCAGTCACGTTCTGACCTATGAGTAGAAAAACATTACACACTGTATATAACTCTGTAGCTGAATTCACTTCTTTCTTTTTTCCTCTTAAAGCCAAGTAGGAAAAGTTAAATTGAATTGTTTTCATCAAAAAGTTAAATCAAATTTTTCCATTATTCTCGTATTGTCAGGTAACTTACTTTTTAGTCTGTCCAGTTTTTTCACTATCGTTAATAACTTCACTATGAATATGTCTGTGCCAGTAGCTTTTTCTTTTCTGTGAGTTCACAGAAGGTTAATTACTGAGTCAGAGGATACAACCTGAACAGTTATGGCTCCTTCTAAGTATTGCCAAAATATTTGCCAGTGGTGCCAGAGACATAACCACTATCATCAGCAACTATACTATCATTAGAAAAACTAAATCTGTAGAGGAGGAATTTGGCCACTTATCTAGTAGACTTAAACTGAAGAACAATGGAATGGAGCTAACTATTCAATTACATGGTACAATAAATATTACTGCTGACTCTTGTTATGTTGGTAGAAAGAATTATTTATTCCTTTGTTCTTGTTTGTCAATATTGCACTTAGGTCCAAAATCATGAGTTTGAACAAACTTAATACAATTATTTTCTTCATCTGTGAAATGGTTTGGAACACATACTCAGTGATCTAGAAGGTGCTTCCTAAACCCGGTGTTCATAAGATTGGGATTTCTCTGCTTACAGGTATTATAAATGTTCAGCATAGAAAACACTAAACACAGAGATAAGGAAACGAGGAACAGACTGGCAGCAGCCAGAGGGGAGGAGGAGGGGGAGTGGTGGGAAGAAGGGGGACTGGTCAAAGAACATGTACGACGACCCATGGACATGGGCCATGGAGCGGGGATGGACTGTGCGAGTGGCAGCATGGGCAGGACAGAGGAGGGTAAAAGGGAAAAAGTTGGGACAACTGTAATAGAATAAACAAAAATTTAAAAAATACTAAAAACAGAAACAGAGAATGAAAATCCCAACAACAAGAAAGCACCTTGGTTAATATTTTTTGTGTCTTTCAAGGCTTTCTCCCATATGTATATATAAAAAATTAAGGGATCACCCTGACCAAGTAGCTCAGTTGGTTAGATCATTGTCCCAATAAACCGAGGTTGTGGGTTCGATCCCCAGTCAGGGCACATATAAGAAGCAGTCAATGATGCATAAATAAGTGGAACCAACAAATCAATATTTCTCTCCCTCTCTAAAAATCTACTTTAAAAATTAAGGAATTTATTGCAGTACTATTTTTACTATGCTCTGTTTTCCCACTCAGTATATCATGAATGTTTTTGCATACCAATGAGTATTCTTCAACAACATCATTTGTAATGGCTCTGTGGGTATATCATGATTTATTTACATGTTTCCCTATTGTTGGACATTTGTGTTTCCAGTTTTTTATATATATAATTTTTAGAATGAATTCTAGAAGTGAAATAGCTAATATACAGAATACTAAGAATTTTTATGTATTCTTAGATCACTCTTCCAAATGTCATACTAATTTACACACCCACCATCACTGTATAAAAGTTTATTTCCAAATTTTATAGTGAGGAATTATATCTCACAGATGTCTTAAAATATAGAGATGAATAATCAAAAACCATCTGATTTTATACCTTAGATAGTTTGCTTAGATATATAAAAAGTTTATTTCTAGCTATTCTTGCTGACCATGTTTAATCTCTTCCTATAAGATAATTAGCCTTAGTTACTAATACAGCTGAGACCATTTCTGAGGCCCTACCTTGTTAATGACAGCTAAGGCTCTGGGGAAAAATGTTCTTTCATAACAGTTTTCTCTGTTTTCTGTGTAACAGGCCACACCCCCTGTGACCATTCCAGGATCAGCCAAGTTCTCCCCCAATGGCAGCAGCTTCAGCATCTCTTGGCAGTCTCCTCCAGTTACCTTCACAGGCATTCCAGTGAGTACAAGTACAAAAAAGGGGAGAGCTGGTCAAGACCAAGTATAAAGTAAGGGAACAAATTTTACACGAAAAAGACAAACATCAGAACACTAGAAGTACCCTGTGTCTTACATCGTGTTTATAAACTCCTCAGCAAGGTATCTAATGGTTTCGACAGGCCCAGCTACTCTGTGAAAGGTGTTTTGACTGGAATTTAAGAAAAGCAGAAGAATGTTTCAGCTGCTGATAAACAATGTGTTAGAAATACATCAAGACTTTTTGTGTTGGTGGTATATTTGTATGTTTCCAAAAGGCTTTCTAAAATCAATCTCTGAACTCGGACCCTGAACATAAAAGAAAAAGACCCTGTACATAAATGGCATTTATCATTATGAGCAACTTTATAATGTTTATGACTTTAAAATTATTGTTTGTGGGTATGTTATCTTGAAGGTTCAAAAAAGTAAATAAATTGAGATCTCTTTTTTCCCCCAAAGCCTAAATAATATACCCATATAGATGGGTAATTTGAAAATAGGTGAGTGCTAAAATGTGCCATCAGGTTTGAGTAGTACATAAGAATTGATTTGACATATTAAATGATTGCTGTCTGATAAATCACTATGAATTTACCTGATTCCTAACCATTCATTTAAAAATATATTGCGTCTTTTATCTGCCCTCCCATTCTAAATGACAGCTTTGCTGGATAGAGTAACGTAGGTTGGAGATCCTTGCCTTTCATCCCTTTGAATACTTTTTACCAGTGCCTTCTTTGCTTGCAAGATTTGTTTTGAGAAATCAGCTGATAGTCTTAATGGGAACTCTTTTATTGGTAAATCTCTGCTTTTCTCTTGCTGCTTTTAAGATTCTCTCTTTAGCTTTAACCTTAGGCACTTTAATTATGATGTGTCTTGGTGTGGTCCACTTTGGGTCCAAATTGTTTGGGACTCTGTGCTTCCTGGACTTGTATGTCAATTTCCTCCATCAAATTAGGGGAGTTTTCTTCATTATTTTCTCAAATAAGTTTTCAATTTCTTGCTCTTCCCCTTCTCCTTCTGGGATCCCTGTGATTCGGATGTTGGTATGTTTAAAGATGTCCCAGAGGATCCGTATACTATCCTCATTATTTTTAATTCTTTTTTCTTCTTGCTGTTCTGGTTGAACACTCATTTCTTTCTTATGTTTCAAATAATTGATTTGAACTCCGGCTTCATCCCCTCCACTATTGGTTCCCTGTAGATTTTTTTTTATAATTTTTATTATAGAACTTTCATAGACCCCTCACACTATTGATGCTCAGGGCATTTATAACTCCTGGTAAGATCCTGAAAGTTGTATATGGTAGTAGATATTCATAATATTTTCACCCTCACACATCTCTCTCCAAGGACTTCACAAAAGCTTCTTATTTTCAACCCCTGGCAACTCCCAGAGATTTCCAGCAAATACTAAGACCTCCTACAGAGTTGATAATAATGAAAGTGGCTCTATCAATTCTGCTGCTCTCTACCAATGAATATTAAATCCCTAGAGGACTAGCCAACAATAAAAAGTATCCTGCTGTCAGCAGTTGGGGAATTTATGGTTTCTAGAAAAGACTTCTAGAATTTGATTTTTAAACAATATTGTGGATCTGGAGTAATCATGAAAGTTACCTGCTTCATAAAATAGTGATCACTGATGATTGCTCTGAAAGACCAAGAAAGCAGTCAACAACATGTGAGTAAACAGGGGAATAGAACAACTTAGAAATTAGGTATTAGTGTTGTTTCCAGCTAGAACAGTGATCTAGAATGGTTCTCAAGGTCACATTTGCAACAATCCTTCTAAACTAGAAAGGCAGCTGCAGTTACAGAATGACAGGGAACTGCTATTTTTGTCTTTGACTTGAGAGCTGACCTTGTGTAAAAGCAAGCATAGAGTGTAGAGGGAACAGCGCAGTTCAGACTTCTTTTCAAATGGAATCCCCCTCTATGTTTTATTAATCAAACCATTTCCTATTGAAATATAAAAAAATCAATCTGAGTAGTAGTTCTTGAAAGTTCCTCAATGTCTTACACAGTAGGATACCAGCCAGGTACCTTCTTTGTTTTCCAACAGTGAAATTTTAAAACCCTGTTGTGGACACTGTGTATCTCTTATCCCCATCTCAATGCCCTAGGTTTTTCAGAGCCCCTAACTTCACAGTGTTGGTTCAGGGACACTCTAAACCAGAGCTTTGATAGAACGTATACAGAGTGGTTGTGTTAACTGGGTCTGGTCTCTCATTAAAATCCTATGTGAAATTCCAATTTATTCTTTCACCAGAGAATAAATTTTTTCTCAATTACCTGGCTGGGTGGTCTGGTCCAGCCAATGCTAGACTGTGTTAGCAATCAAGCTTGACATTCCTATTTGAAAATAGAGGTGAGGGCAAAGGGCACTATTTTGCAGGACATCTGTTTTAGTCTAGATTAGAAAATGAGAAGGCTTACTACCAAAAATGTTCTTCATCTGCTATACTCTCTATTGATGCTTAACAAAAAAAGGTGGGTTTTGCTGTCTGCCTCCTTCTATGGGGCTGAATCTCACAAGTGCACAGCACACAGGCACAGGATTGTCATGCGTCCACTGAGGACACCAGCCACTGTCCTTGTTTCTGCAGGAGTGCTATCCCACCCCTGGAAGACTGGAGCCAAGTTGACTGTAAGAACATATGAATTTCTACCTTCTAAATGACTCTCCTGCAGAGAGACTCTCAACATGTTAAATTATAATGAATTAGTGTTAATGAGAGCCTCAACCATGTTCATGCTGAACAGTAGAACAGTTGGCATTTTGTAAAATGTTCCTTATAAATACATTTCTGTATGAATGAACCTGGAGAACATTATGTTAAGTGAAATAAGCCAGTCAAAGAAAGACAAATACCATACAATTTCACTCATATGTGGAATCTAATGAACAAACTGAAATAACAAGCAAAATTGGGACAGACTCATAGACAGAGAACAGGATGACAGCTAAGTGTGGGGGAGGTTAGAGAGTAGAGGGACTGAGCAAAAAATAAAAAAGGATTCATAGACATGGACAACAGTGTGATAATTGCGAGGGCTGGAGGAGTATGAGGGGACCAAGTGGTAATACAAAAATATACAATAAAAGAATAAAGTGCATGGAAGACACACAGAAAATTTAAGTATATTTTATTATGTTATTACAGTCTTCTCAATTTTCCCCCCTCTATCCCCCCTCTGCCCTGCATTCCCCAACCCTCCAGCATTCCCACCTTTAGTTCATGTCCATGGGTTGTTCATGAGAGTTATTTGAGTTCTCTGTTTCCTATACCATTTTTATCTCTCCCCCTCTATTTTATGCCTACTAATTATGTTGCTTCTTCCTCGTGCCTTCCCCCTCTTCATTCTCCCCCCCACCCCAAAAACCCTCCAAGTGATGTCCATTTCTCTGATTCTGTTCCAGTTCTAGTTGTTTGCTTAGTTTTTGTTTTTGTTGTTTCTCTTTTTTTTGGTATTTTAGTTGATAGTTGTGAGTTTGTTGTCATTTTACTGTTCATATTTTTGACCTTCTTCAATTTCTTAGATAAATCCCTTTAACATTTCATATTGTAAGGGCTTGGTGATGATGAATTCTTTTAACTTGACCTTATCTGAGAAGCACTTTATCTGCCTTTCCATTCTAAATGATAGCTTTGCTGGATGGAGTAATCTTGGATGTAGGTCCTTGCCTTTCATGACTTCAAATACTTCTTTCCAGCCCCTACTTGCCTGCAAGGTTTCTTTTAAGAAATCAGCTGAGAGTCTTAGAGGAACTCCTTTGTAGATAACTGTCTCCTTTCCTGTTGCTGCTTTTAAGATTCTCTCCTTATCTTTCATCTTGGGTAGCTTAACGATGAAGCGCCTGAATGTGTTCTTTTTTGGGTCCAACTTCTTTGGGACTCTCTGAGCTTCCTGGACTTCCTGAAAGTCTATTTCCTTTGCCAGATGGGGGAAGTTTTTCTTCATTATTTGTTCAAATAAGTTTTCAGCTTCTTGCTGCTGTTCTTTTCCTTCTGGCACCCCTATAATTCAGATATTGGAATGTTTAAAGTTGTCCCAGAGATTCCTAAGCCTCTTTTCACTTTTTTGAATTCTTCTTTTTTCATTCTGTTATAGTTGGATGTTTATTTCTTCCTTTTGTTCCAAATTGTTGATTTGAGTCTTCATTTTCTTCTTGTCACTGTTTGTTCCCTAAATATTTTGCTTTATTTCACTTTGGGTAGCCTTCCTTTGCTCTTTCATTTTTCAACCAAGCTCATTCAGTTCTGTGAGCATCTTGGTTACCAATGTTTTGAATTTCACATCACATAGATTGGCTATCTCCTCATTGCTTAGCTCTCTCTCTCTCTCTAGAGTTTTGTTCTGTTCTTTCATTTGGGTCATATTTCTTTGTCTCATCACACCTGTTAAGTTGTAAGGGGGCAAAGCCTTAGGTATTCACCAGGGCGGGGCAACCCTCTTTGCTGTGTTGTGGCGCTGCCTATGGGGGAGGGATCAGAAAGAGAACAATGTAGCTCGCTTGCTGGGCACCAGCCCCACTTTGCAGTGGACTCTCATGTGAGACTGGGAGTTTCTCCCACTGTGGCAACCCCCACTATAGTCTACAGTCAGCTCTGAGTCTCAGTTTCACCTTCAGCCAGCCCCCCCAGTCTGCTGCCTTGCCTCTGTTTTTCTGAGCCAGCCTGGCCCATGCGGTCCACCTTCTTACCGATCTGGTTGTTCTGGCTGATTTTTTCTTTAATTCCTTGGTTGTCAGAGTTCCATGTGGTTTGATTTTCTGGCAGTTGTGGTAGTTTATTGATTTTAGATTGGTTGTTTTCCTCCTTTTGGTTGTGCAAGGAAACGAAGGATTTCTACCTACCCCTCCATCTTGGCCAGAACTATACACAAAATAATTTAAAAATTCAAAAAAAAGAATACATTTCTGTTTGTACTCCAAAACAAACACCCTTAGGCTGCAGGCCCCACTTAAGATTTGCT